GCAGAGTTAGGGGGGAGGGTGTGTGTGTGTCTGAATTCAGGTCCTCTGCCTCCAAATTCAGCATTGTTATTGTGATGTCCCATCCGTTTTTCCAGTTGTAACCTCCCTTGCCTGGCCCCAATCCTGGACACAGTAGCCAGAATGGAAATAGTTTACCCTTGGACTCCTGACTGTATCACAGCTAAAGCTTTTGTATTCCATTAAATGGTTTGCAGATGGACAGAAACTGGGCAGGTTTCCCCTCCCCACCCTGTTTCTATCACTCTGGGGACAGACAGTTCCACAAACAGTTCAGAATGGGCCCTTTGTCACTGAACCCATCTACCACCCTACTTCCTCCAGACCACCCCAGCCTACAGACACCTCTCCCGTCCTCTGAACGCCGCCGTGTCTGAACCACTCCCTAGACAATCCAGGCCAGCAGTGAAAATGCAGTGGGACACTCTTCCTGGTGGGCTGAACGGATCCAATCACTAGTCCTTCCCACCCTTCACTCCACAATCCCTGATCTGGTGACCCATTGAGCTGTGAAGGTGACCCGGGGCTTTCAGAGGCTAAGTCAGCAAAGAGCAACAGCCAGCTCTGTCAGGCTTTACCTAGCCCAACGGGCAAAGGGTAGATATTGGATCAATGCAAATTAATTGATTGCCTCATTCATCTCAATCATTTAATAAACATTCATCGTTTGCTGACTCTCAGAACTAGAGATTTGAGCATCTCAGTCCTTGGGAAATCTTACCAAACTAAGATGGAGCACCATGGACCCGGAAGAAACTTGAGAGGTCAACGAATCAGTGCCTTCATTTTATACATGAGAAATCTAAAGGGCCCCAGAGGGCTCATAAGCTGGTCAAAGTAACACAGCGAGTTAATAGTAAAGCTAGAAAATGACCAAAAAGCCTGTTCCTGATAGAAAGATGCTACCTGAGAGTTCCGGTCCATGGACATGCACATTCCATTCATAAAAACAGAGAGATCATAGGTAGCATGATAGGACCATAGATTTACAGTTGGAAGGGATTTTGGAGCCCACTGAGCTCAAACCTTGCCTCCCAATTTTAAAGATGAGGAAACTGAGACTCAGAAGTCAAATGACTTGCCTAAGGTCACACTGCTTAATTCACATCTGAAGCAGATTTGAACCCAGGTCTTCCAGACTCCATATTCAGCACTCTTTTCCAAGAGGAAGCCTCAGAATATAAAGCCATCAGGTCTTTCCCTGCTTGAACTAGAGCTAAAAGAATTAATTCAAGAGAACCAGTGCATTATGGGAATGGCAGAAGTAAGGAGAATAAAACCAGAATCCCAGAATCTTAGAGTTAGGGAGGACCTTGGGGGTCTGAATGACCCGTACAACAGGCCGTACAAGGGTCACCTGGCCTTGGTTTGAAAACCCCCAATGCCAGACCTCACTAGTTCCTAGGGAAGCCCATTTCACATTGGAATTAGTAGGAAGCTTCTGCTCACATTGAGCCTAAATGTGCCTGCTTGCCATTTACATCAATTGTTACCCATTCTGCCTTCTGGAGCAAAGCAGATTTTGGTAATCATCTCCCTTTGTTTCTTTCTCTGGGAGTGAGACTGATTTTTTTTTTCTAATATGGAGAGTAGAGAGCTCATTCAGACCCAAGGGAAGACGCCACATGCAGGCTGTATGCTATTCCACCCATGTGGGGTGAATCCGCCACGACTAACACGCGAAAGCCCCAGGTTCTCAGAACTTGGCTGCTTCCCTGTTCCGGAGGCCTCTGTCAGAGCCTCTGGTACATCCACAGCCCAGCTGCCAGAAACATCTGGAAATGAGGGAGGCAGAGGAAGGAGTGCACCAAGGGGGACCCCAAGGTTTGATGCTCTTCTAGTGAATGAGGGGAGATAAACAGAGAGGAGAAGGCAGGGCCAGGCAGAATACATAGTTCTATGGGATGGACTGTGTGACTTTGGGCAAAACGCTTGCCTTCTCTGGGCCTCAAACTGGAAGGAACTAGAGATCTCAACCCTTCTATTCTTTTTACAGATGAAATGAAGGCTCTTAGAGGTGATTTTACATTTCCTTCATGAGGTTCATGCTCAAGCAGAACCAGCCTCCCCCTCCATCTTGTAGAATTTCTACACCCCTTCAGGATTTGGCTCCAACACCATCTTCTGCAGGAGGCCTTCCAAGATCCCCCACTTTTTAGCGTCTTCCCCAGTTCCCTATCCCACCAGAAACTGGAGTATCCAAGAATCCCAGCCTCCTAGGTTTAGAGCTGGAAAGGACCACACAGAGGCCATATAGGCCCAACCACTAATTTTGCAGGTAGGGAAACTGAGACAAGGGAAAGTCAAGTTGCCCAAGTTCTCATAGGAATGAAGCAATACAAACAAGAATAAAAATAATAAAATTTATTTTGCCTCTGTGTTGGCCTGACTAATCTGTATATATTGCATCCTTCAAGTACCAGTAAGTTCCTGGATGGGAGGGGCTGTCTTATTTTTGTCCCCAGCACAATGCATTCAATAGGTGCCTAATGAATGCTTGTTGGATTGACTTACCCAAGATCACCCAGATAAGTCTATAGGGAACCTTGGCCTTGAACCAAGGTCTTCTAAGTCCTAGCCTGAACATCTGCCTTCCACCATATTGGGCTGTTTCTCTTTGGTTACACCCTACCTATAGTAGGTCCTCAAGGGCTTGCTGGTGGGAAGCAATGGGTTTCAGTTGCATACCTCTCCCACTACTGGCACAGAGAACCAAAGAGCCAAGTCAAAACCTTACCCATCGAATGAGCTAACCTTCTCCTAGGGAAGGAGCACAACACAGATGCAGCTGGAATGATTCTGGTTGTGGGCAGCACGAAGGCTAGCCAGGACAGATGTAAGTTTGTGGGTAGGTTGTTGTTTTTAATTAACATTAACCTCCTTCAAAGACTAACCTCACTCTTCTTCAATGCCCGGAGATAACTGGATGTTTGGGGCACAGCTGTTTCCCCCCAAAAAAACAACCCTTTTTGCAAATATGGTCTAATATTGAAGGCCTCAAAAGGGGGTTGTACCCAGTAAAAGGCCAGAGGTAGGTCTGGAAGTCATGATTGATGCCATCAAAGGCCCATCAGACCTCTCCTTTCCCTCTGTTTTAAAAGGTTTCCTTGTAAAATGAGGGGACTGGATGAGATGACTTCCCAGATGGATATGGAGTCAGAATTAGGTTTCCAATCCCACCTTAGACACTTATGAGTCATACGACCTTAGGCAAGTCTCAGCCTCAGTTTCCTCATTTATAAAATGGGAATACTAACGGTTCCTACCTCACAGGGTTGTGGTAAGGATCAAATGAAGTAACACGAAAATGTTTCTCAAGCCTTAAAGCACTGGGTAAATGGGAACTATTCTCATCCCCACCTCAGAGAAACAGGAGCAATGTGTGGGGGAGGGAGGGGCCTCAATGGCCTTAATGAAATCATTCATTCAGAAACCTGCCCCACCCCCACCCCACGAAGAGCTCTTGCTGGAATCATGAAAGGCGAAAGGAAAAACATGGCAGTCAGTGCAATAAATTTGAAAAAGGGCTTTTCCCCTATGGGAATCTCTGGAACACCCCCCAGGAGGTGTTCTTCACTTGTTTGTGAAAGTAAAAAAGGGGAAATATTGGGGGAAAGTCATTCAAGGTGTTTTCCTTTTAATGAAAGCTGGTGTGTCCTGAATACATCTGGGAAAGAATGGCAAGGCGGGCCAGGACACCTGAGCAGCACTTCCTCCCTTTCTCCAGAAGATAATTAAATTAGAAAAAATAACTTCTGTCCCCTAGGGAAACAGAAGATGGGCTAAGGGAACAGTCAGTAAGAGCTAGGTTTCTGAATGGGAGAAAGAGAGAGAGAGATATGGGGAAAAGGGAGAGGGGAGAGAGGGAGGGAGAGGAAGGAGGAGGAAGAGGGAGAGGGAGAAAAAAGAATGAGAGAAAGAAAAAAGAGGTAAGAGAGAAAGAGAAAAGAAAAGAAAGAAAAAGAAAGGAGGGAGTATGGCTCAAAAATAAATAAAATCTGTGTTTCATGTTTTTTCAACTTGGGGCCCACCTTTCAGCTTCACATCCAAGATAGCAGGAAACTCAGGGGCCTCCCACCTCTGAAAGGATTGGGGAAAAAAATCAACCTCTCTGCTCTCTTTTTCAAATCCCTAATAATGTTTTTTTTTTAAACAAATCCAAAACAAATGTCCATTTTCCCAGCAGGGTCCCCCTTCCACCTCTCTGTCTGACCTCCTCGGGCCCCTCTCTGTGAGGTCTATCCTAGGGCCAAAGGCAGGAAGTTCCTATGCACACCTGCCTCAATCAGTGGGAGATGAAAGGAAGGGCAGAGCCGAAAGTCCGTGACAAAGACAAACAGAAAGGCCTACACAGTTGGGTTTGGAAGCAAGCCTGGTCACTGCCATCTATCCAACTGACAGATGGAGATCAGAACTGAGACCCAGTCACCTGCAACCATTTGAATGCTAATAATCCTTTATAGATGAATAGGACTTTGTTTCCCCAAAGCTTCTTTCTTCATTTTACACATGGAAGCTGAGGTCTAGACATGGGTCATGGCTTATCCAAAGTCCAAGAAAATGGCAGGGCCAGGACAGAACTTAGGAGTCCTAACACACCAAATCAGTAATCTCCTGAGACTCCACTCCCCTGACCAACACACACATGCTCTACCTTAATAAAGGGCCAAAGCAAGCCAGCAGAATGCCTTGCCTTCAGTAGACAACTGATCCATGTTTGTTGACTTGAAGGTGGTGTGGCTGCTGAGTTCAGAATTTCAACTGGAAGGGATCTTCAATGATCTAATCCAATCCCTCATTTTAGGGAGGAAAGTGAGGTGGATTCACCCAAAGTCACACAGTGAGATAGCAGCAGGAACCTGGGGTTTCTGACCCATCATCCAATATTTTATCTGAATTTTCATTTCGGATGAAACCCCCAACCCTCCCTGTGGCTAACAGCACCAAAACGGGGAAAGCTATAGTCAGCCTTGAGTACTTACCGCCAAGTAGAGCATGGTGTACATGGAGAAGGAGGCATGGCCAGAGAAGAAGGATTTCCTGCAAAAGAGAGAAAAGGGTGAAGGAAATGCAGCTGAATAAAAACTTAGCCACCTGAGAGAGGGCAGGTAAGTTTAGGGCTTCCTGAATCCCATGGCAGAATGTCAATTCTTACACTCAATCACCCAGTGTCTCCTTACATTGGTATACAGCTGGCATCATGCTAACAAGAAACTCACACCACTGTTTTTCACAAAATCTCCAGAGTTTTGAGTGGCTCAACTCACCCAACCCACTCCCAAAAGTGTCTGTCTAGATGCTGTGTGAAGACCACTAAAGTGAGGGAAACCACCACCTCTGAGGAGACCCATTCCACCATTAGATTAATATTTTAATAACTTAATTAATTAAATAATAATCACCATAATAATAATCAAGCATGTCTGCCTTTCCATAGCTTCCACCCACTCACTAATTTGTACTGTAGGACCAGGCTGAACAAGTCCAATCTCTCCTGTGACTGCTCAGACAGTTGAAAACAACTATCATGTCCCTCTGCTCCCCTCTACCTACAGTCTTCCTTTCTCTAAGCTATATATCCTTAGTTCCTTCAACTGATCATCACGTATTATGACTGAGCCCTGGACTTGGAGCCAAAGAGACATGAGTTCCAATCCTGCCTTTGAGACACTTCTAGTTATCTGACCTCGTACAAGTCACTTAGTACAAGTCACTTAAATCACCGTGCTGTGCTAAGTGCTGGAGAAGCGCAGGGTGGAGTCTCTGTCTTCAAGAAGCTTACTTCAACGTTTACAAAGTGAACAACAACCCAATGAGTCCCATGGTGAATTCCTTATGGGCAGGGAGAGTTCTGCCTTTCTTTGCACTCTCAACCTTTCACACAATGCCTGGTACACCGTCGGCGCTAAATGAATGCTTGGGGCCTGCCTGCCCCTAGGCCTAGCAGAAGCCACACCCTTCAGCCCTCTCACCTGGCTTCCTGGACCCTGCTGTCATCTCCCTGGCACTCATAGATCTGGACGTAGCCCACAGAGCAGTTGACTTTGCTGAAGTCGAGGTTGCAGACAGCCAGGAAGTGGGGCCGCAGGCGGCCAATGGACACCTTGGCAATGTCCGTGAAGGACTGGCTGATGGCGCAGCCAAAGGCGAAGCAGCCCACCTGCTTGTAGAGAGCGGCCACATATGGGTTCTGGATCACAGAGGAAGACTTCTCCTTCAGGTAGTAGATTCGGTAGAACTCCCCGGTAATGATCTGAAGCAGAAAGAGGATATCAGCAACAGGACCATTAGACAGGCTCAGAAAAGCTGGGAGAAGAGAGGAGGGGATGGGGCAGTGTCTTTGGAGGAGCTAAAGAAGAGTTCTAGGCCTGAAGAATGGAGAGGGACATTGGCTAACATGAGGCAGATCAAAGAGGAGGGGTTTATGGAGTATCTATCCAATGTACCCATTTCACACATGGGGAAACTGAGACATGAAGAAGGGAAACAATATGTTCAAGATCTTGTAGCCAAGAACCGCCTAAGCTAGGAATATGAAGCCTTCCTAAGAACTGGTACTTAGAGTTTTCTAGGCGGTCAGGCAGAGGCCAGTTTGGGGGATGGAAAAATGCACTTTCAAGTCCTGCCACTGACACATTCTGATTGCGTGAAAGAAGAGGGCAAGTCATGGAATCTCTTAGAGCCCCAGGCAATTTCCTGAGATGATCAGCAGATCCCGGCAGCTGATGCACAACCTGAGTGACCTTGGGGCAAGTCATGCCCCCACTCTTAAGCCTCAGTTGCCTTCTGTGTAAAATGAGGCACCTGGACTTAATGCCTTCTAAGGTTCCTTAAAGCTCTGAGATTCTACGATAGAAGGATCTTTCCGGCCCTGACATCCCCTGTTCTCAGGCCCCTCCCAGCTCTGAATCCCCTGTTCTCAGGTCCCTCCCAGCTCTGACCTTCCCTGTTCTAAGGCTGCTCCCACCTCTGACATTCGAGCACTCCAAGACCGGAAAGCTAATGGTGGAACACGCCAAACATACACCAAATGAGATGACATCTGATGAAACACACGCCGATCCCTCTTGTCTTAGCTCCAAAGCACAACCTTGGATATTTCCTGATTTCAACCACAAGCCAGAAACGGCAGAGCATTCAACTGTCCACTCACCACAAAGATCCCTTTTGTACTTCCTTTCCCTGCATGTGGATGGGCCTTGTGCCCTTTCTGGGTGACACAGCTGGGGAAAGTAGACAGTGTATCTATAACCACAACGGAAATAATAGACAGGCATATCTGGACTTCCCTGTCAGGCGCAGCCAGGCAGCGCTAGACCTGGGGGCAGGAAGACGCGAGTGTGAATTCTTCCTCACACACTTACAAGTCGCGCAACCCTGGGAAAATCACTTAATCTTTCTAAGCCTCAGTTTCCTCACCTGAAAAATGAAGATAGGAATAATAATAATAATAGCAGCTACCTCCCAGGGGTAATTGTCACTATGACAAAACATATACAAAGCTCTCTCCCCTCCCACTCTCCCCACGTGTGGGTATGCTTATACGTGTGTGTGCGTGTACATATATAATATGTATATCTTAAACTGCTATATAAATTTTAGCCATCATCATCATCTTCACCATCACCATCATCATCACTGTCGTCATGCCTAACCATCCAGCAGGGGAGACCTGAACTTCACCAAGCATGTTCTGACAAAGCTTAGATTCCGAAGGGGCCCAAGTCCGATCAGCGGCCAGCTCCGCTGCAGGCACAGAGGGCAAAATCAGCCCACGCAGTACTTCCTGGCCAGATGAGAGCAGGAGGCCACACTGTTTCCAAGGGTTAAGTTTTAACACATGCCCAAGGGACACAGGAGGCAGCCCGATGTAACTCGCTTAAGTAAAAGCCAGAGTTGATTCCTGACTCTTTGTATCTGCTCAAGTTTAAGCGTTACTCTGTTACTGCATGGTCACTGTGTTCCTCTGCCTCCACGATCTTGGTCCCCTCATCTGTATAATGGGAGTAAGCCCCACAGTCACTACTTTGTTATCAGGAGGGTCAAACCTTAAAAATCTTAAAAAGCCAAAGAAATAGAAACTATTTTTCAAAAAAAGGATTACAAACCTTAGGAATTCTAGTTCCAGTTCTGTCATTAATTAGGACTAACCATGGTCAAGTAACTTCCCCTGAGCCTCAGTTTCCTCATCTGTAAAATGAGGCTAAAAATACCTCACTCCTACTTCACAGGGCTCAATTAGTCAAGAGGTATTTATTAACTCCTCCTCATTGACTGTGCCAAGTGCCTAGGATAAAAAGACAAAGCAACAACAGTCCTTGCCCTCAAGGAGCTTACATTCTAACAGAGATAGCAAACACATAAATGGACACACCACAATATAGAAGGAAGGGCTCAGCAGCTGGAGGGACCTAGAAAGGCTACCTGAAGAAAAAGTCTCACACGAGGCCATGAGGTGAAGAACCGTGCCAACCAGAAGGTGATACATATGTGCCAGTTATCGCCATCCTTCTGTCCTACATACTGAACTAAAGTGAATCACTCTCCAAGGCAGGCACTCTTTCCCCCATACCGGACTCTTCATGACAAAGGCACTCATTCCATTGGTTTCCATTTATTATCATTTTTGCTGTGGTCAGGAAAATCATTTTCCCTCTGGAACTGCAAAAGCATCTGTGCCCCGGCCCCAAGGCCGGCCTTGTGTGCTGAGGAGCCCATGGTGACCCTGCCCGGCTCCGTTTTCTTCTCTAGAGCCATTAATAAGCAACAAATTATTTGTCCTCTTCCCCCTGTCCCAGAGGAGGCTCTCCGAGTTGACAGGGCAGCTGTAAACCAATATTATGAACCAGCCAGGCCCGGCTCCTTGTAATCCTAACTCTTGAAAAGCTTCTTAGTGAAAACTGCCCGTGGGCAAATCTGTCCAAAAGTCTCACACCTCTGCCCAGGAGGGCAAGATTGCGATGGTCCAAGATGACCTCGTACACCCAGGCCGAGGAGGCCCCAGATTCACAGCTTAGGATCTGCTCCGTTCTGCTAAATGTTTTTATACCAGAGGAGGAAAATTAACCCTTCCTCTCTATTAGATTGCTACTCTCTGAGTCCCCACCCCTTGCAGCGGCCTCCTCCCTTTCGGCCAACTTCCATTCCTGCCCTGGTCACCAAGGCCTCCATCTCTAAGCTCAACTGTCAGTAAAATGCCTTCATGCTGATCCCTCTCTGAAACAGCCAGCAATATAATCTGGGAGGGATGGCCGCCTGCCAAGAGCATGCTGAGGGGAAGTCTCCCCTACCTGCCCCTTAAATGCCTGGCACAACATTTGGAAACTAATAAACTGGGGAAATAGCACAATTAGGCTACATCGAGATGAAGCTGGATCAGCCAGCGGCTCAAGGCTGCTCTCTGCCCCGGATGAAGAATGGGACCCAGCCTCAAAAATGGCCGGCGATCTCTCGGAGAGGTTTTCCGGCCTTCTAGAGCAAAAGGTTACGGTGAGTTGAGCTCAGCTAGGCATAATAAACTTGTTCATGAATACGTTTTTGATTGTCCTCTCAGTGGGTAGGGGAGAAGCTGAAGGGAGGGAATCAGGAAGGTAAAATTTTAAAAATGAATGTTAATTAAAGTACAATTATCTTAACAAATAAATACATTTGCTTTTTAGCATATACTAACTGGCATAAAACTGTGGAGGGTTTAAAAAACTGGCGGGGGGGGGGCCTTAGAGAGAAATCCTTCTGCAACCTTGAGCAATGTGTTCCCCTCCCTCTGCTGGGTCTTGGTTTTCTCATCTGGGTAAGAAAAGGTCTATGGCCCTTTTTAGATCCTAATATCATCTATTTAGAGCTGGAAGGGGCATAACCTTCTACTTGTCTGTCTCCTAGCCCTAGAATGGTGTCCTCCATCAACCCCTGCCTCAATTTCCAGACTCTGTTCAAATCCCACCTTCTCCAGAAGGCCTTTCCCAGTCCCCCCTCCTCACCCCAGCTGCTAATGCCTTCCCTTTTCATATTCTCCTCATTTACTCTCTATATCTTAAACGTACCATTTGTTTACACATTGTCTTCTCCATTAGAATGTTAGCTTCCTGATGGCGGGAACAAGTTTTTGTTTTGTTTTGCCTTTTTTTGCCTCCTCATCAATTAGCACAGTCACTGGCACATAAGGGTTTAATATATAAAATACTTATTGATTGAGGGGAAGGGAATAACCATTTATTAAGTGCCTACTATGTGTTAGGCACTGTGCCAAGTGCTTTACAAATATTACCTCATTTGAAGCTTACAATGACCTTGGAAGGTTGTTATCCTCATTTTACAGTGGAGGAAACAGAGGCAGATGGCAGTTAAGTGACTTGCCCAAGGTTATACAGCTACTAAGTTTCTCAGGGAGGATTCAAACTCAGGTCTTCTTGAATCTAAGCATAGTACTCTCTACACAGAGCCAACTAGCTAACTCTTGATTGACATTTTGTCCAACTCCCTTAGTTTACAAATGAGGAAACTGAGGCTCCTATCAGAGAAGTGATCTGCCCAGGGTCCCACAGGCAGTATTCCAAACCCAGGTGTCCTCGTATCTTAGCCTTGCATTCTGTCCCCTTCCCAATGCTGACTCCTGCAACCCATGTTGGGTGACTACTGACTGTCTTGTTGCCCTGTGCATTATTTTCTTACCCTGTGCTTTTATAAAACTGCTCTAATTTCTTAAATGCTTATGCAGTTATATCAGCCTTCATCTTCAGTACTCCAACAATCTCCTTTTCAGAGACAGACAAGAATCTGTCTTCTTCCTTCCCCTTTACCCTGCTGTGTTTAAAAGAAAGCCAATATCAACAAATTCCCAACCAAAATACAGGGGAGTATTTTATTTAAAGTCTTGGGTTCAGCAAGGGGAGGGGAGGTGAGGGACAGGATAGTAGCGCCTCCATTCTGACATACTTTCTTCCAGTTTAACTGAGAAATGGGGTACTTTCACCAGGAGATTCCCCAGTTTTATTGAACCAAAATCTATCTAATGGGCTCTGGGAGCTGCTCTTGCTACTAACTCCATGGGAGCCATGCAAAATAATAACTAACATTTCTATAGGCATCTTAATGTTCCAAAGCTCTTTCTAGAAATGATCTCATTTGACTAATTAGAATAAGTCTAATCCCTCTTCCTCATGGAAGCCCTCAGAATTCTGGAAGAGAGCTAGCCCGTCTCCCCCTCCCTCAATCTTCTCTTCTCCACTTCTCCACATTAAGCGTCCAGTTCTCCCGCAGCCCCTTTTTTTCACCATCCCAGTCACCCATTTCAGGATTCACTTCAACTGGCCACTCACCGTTCTAGAATTCTGCTGTCATGTTCTAGAAACCTTTTATTCCAGCTGATTAAATACTGTCATTGAACCTGGGCTGTTATCCCAGGGGCTCAAATCCCCTAATCTGCACCCCACCCCCATCTGTGATTTTCTTCAAACCTAGACACTTAACAGGTTTGGCAAACTGCTTGGGAAAGCCTGTCTTAACACCCTAAGCCTAGACCTGCCATTAACACTGCTCTCCTGACATACAGATGTCTTGGACTCTTTCTCTCTGCTAAACATTTTAAAATGACTCTTATTCCTGGGTGCTAGGGGCCACTAATGCCCCTATAATAGCTGGAAGACCCTCAAGTGTGGAGCCAGTAGGCCCCCTGGGGGTAGAATGAATGAATGAATGAATGGGTGACTACGAATTTACTAAGTGCTCATTAGGTCCCCTGTTCTGTGTGCGACACTGGAAACAAAGACAAGAGAGTCTCTGTCCCCAAGGAATCTTATCTTTAAATATCATAGACGATACATAGAGAGGACCAGGGGCCAGGAAATGGAATCTGGAGAGTCAGAGATGTTGAGCTGACCCACTAATTACTAGGCCCTTGCTAGAAGCAATAGAGATAATAATTTGATTACTGTTCTTAGAGTAAGTGGAGGCCAAAGAAGGCAGAGGTAGAGGAATAGCAAGATGGTGGGAATGGGAGGTATGGTCCAGAGATGGTAACGTATTTGGTTTGGAGCATTTGTACTCATGCACCCACCAAATGGGGTAGCTCAACCCCAGGGAGCGCCAAAGCTGACTGGATTAACTCCCCCTGGAAGACAAGAGGAGGCTTGATCTCTGGAGGTCACGTTCAGAGAGTGGGATCCCAGATGGGGAGGGAGGGTGCCACAGCAAGGCAGATGGCCAGTCACTTGGGAAAGGAGGATGGCTAGCTGGCTAGGAGGTGAAGCATGAAGTTGACGAGGAAGGTACACACAAAACGACGGACAACGCAACCCCAGTACATACAGAAGGGAGAGTCACAAATGGATGGCACCCTCCCCCCTTTCCCCAGCATGATGTGAGTATTAAGGACAGTCTCAGAAGAGTTTCAACCATTTGATCAGAGGACAACAAAGCAAGAAGATTAATTTGCTCCTTCTCGGCTGGTGGTCTTGGTAATTGCCCAGATGGAGTGGATTGTAAATTGGGGGATTGGGTCTCCTGCTGATACACCACTGGGTAGGCACAACTTCACTTCTTAAAAGAGCTGAAAACATGACCAGACTGTAATGAGGAGCCCAACTCTGAGAGCCTGGTTTTGCTGGTGGTGCTGTCTCCGATAAAGGAAAACCGAGAAAAGTAATTCAGCCCAGATGTGTGGAAACTGAAGCCTGATCCTGAATAAACAAGTCTTCAAGATATTAAGCTCTCCTTGTGTCTCCAAGAAGTCATTTGCATGCGGTGCAGAGAATGTTTCTCTGTGTGAATTGCTGGAAGTATTTAAGGAAGATATTTGAGAAGCAAATATTGGACTTCTCTCCCCTCCCAAGTTCATGGACTCATAGAATATCAGAGCGGAGAGGGCCCTCAGAATGCAGACCACTGGGATACAGAACATCCAAGATCAGGAATGAAAAGGGCGTTCGGACGTAGAATGTTAGAACATCAGGGCTGAAAGGCAGATCCTTAGAAGCCAGAACACTGTGTCAGAGCTGAGAGGGACCCCAGAATACAGAATGTGAAAGCTAGAAAAGACCCCAGGACACGAAACACTGGTGTGGTAGAGATCCTGTAACCCAGTATCTTCACTGTATGGGAGAAGGTCCAAAGAGAAGTGACTTGCCCAAGGTCATACATTATTAAGTCCAGGGGTTCTTAATCTTTTCTTGTGTCCTGGGCCTCTTTGGCTGTCCTATGAAGGCTTATAGGCCCCTTCTAGGAATCATGTTTTAGAATGCACAAAACAAAATACACAGGATCATGAAAGAAATATTATCAATAAAATAATCAATCAACAAACACTTATGAGATAAAGTGAGTGCCCTGCGCAATATCAAAACTAAGGATGATTCTGGAAGGCAGGAGGATGGAGAGACCCTTCACCTTTCCAGGCTTCAATGACATTAACTGCTTTTCTTTGACCACCTGGAAAGCTTTTTGTCCACTTAAATAACCCTGGTGCTCTCCCACCTCTGTGTGCCTGAGGGAAGGTAAGCTCCTTGAGGGCAGGGATTGTTTTTTTGTCTCTGTATGCCCAGGGCCTAGCACAAACCCTAACACATCTAGGCACTTCAATACATGATTGCTGGATTGGCAATGATCCAAATTTTGTAAATCCCCCCAGTGTGAGGATCAAAGCTCTGTACAAAGCAGGTATTTAATTATTTTTTCAACAAACAAATGGGTGTTATTAGCTCTGGTTCTAAAAGGGACCTTGGAGATCACGCACTCAAAGCTTCTCATTTTAGTTTTACAGAGGAGGAAACTGAGGCCCGGCTAAGAAGCTGCACTTGAGGGGCAACTAGGTGGCGCAGTGGATAGAGCACCGGCCCTGAAGTCAGGAGGACCTGAGTTCAAATCTGGCCTCAGACCAAACACTTGACACTTACTAGCTGTGTGACCCTGGGCAAGTCACTTAACCCCAACTGCCTTAAAAAAAAAAAAGTTGCATTTGAGGGGGGTCTTGAAGCCTAAGAACCATTGTCCACAGGTGGAGATGGAGATGAGAGGAGGTTAGGTCACAGTGCTTCAAAGCCAAGAGAAGTCACTCCTCAAGTTGGGGGGAGAGGGAGGCAGTGGGAAGCAGGCTGGAATGGGAGTCAGGAGACCCAGATTCAGCCTCCCACACTTTCACTCGATCGACGGGGGACCCTGAGCAAGTCCCTCTTTGGGCCTCAGTTTTCTCATCTGTAAAAGGAGTTGGATGAAGTCCCTGCCAGGTGAAACCTTCCACGAAGGTCTGAGTGAGGGCTGCAGAGATGGCTAAACACTTTGTGTGCCGGCCTTTGCCAGCCTGGCTTTGCTGGCTCGCTGCAGAGTCCACGAAGGGAGAAGAGAAGGGCAGATAAAAGGGGTGGATGGTATTTTATTTCTCATCCCTAATCCCCAGTCTCCCTGCTAGAGTCATTAAGCCCTGGTGAGGCAAAAGCTGAGAGGGGAAAGAAAGGCCTGAGGCTTTGTGAATTTGGAAGGTACTTAGCTTCGGCTGTGATGATGATCTGGGGGCCTGGGGGCCATCTGGAAAAGAGGTCAGGAATGACGGACTTTTTCCTCGTCTTTTGCCATCACAGGGGCCTGTTTCCTCAATCACTTGTTAAAGGTTTCTGTCCTCCGCCTCCATCCCCTTAACTTCACGGCGAGGGCCAGGAAGCCCCCAGCCAGGGCCTCCGTTCGGCCCAGGGCCCCTGGTGAGTCCCTCTTGTGCCAGGACTGGCTGTGTTTCCAGGTGCCTAGGACAGGGAGCTGTGTTTTCTCTTCTTACTCGGGAGGCTGAGTGTGATGTCATTGGACAGAACGCAACAGCAGCAGCGGCAGGCTGAGGGGTCTCCACTCATCTCTGACACCCACCACCCAGTGCCCACCTGGGGATTCCGCACACAGTGCTTTCAGAAATGGGGGCCATTTAGCCTGAACAGGACAAGGCTTAGGGGAGAAGGGACTGACGGCGGGGTCAAACCTCTGAAGGCCTGTGGCACTGAAGGGGGATTGGCCTTGCTGTGCAAGCTCCCAGACAACAGACCTCAGAGCGATGCGTGGCAGGAAAGCAGATTTGGCCTGGACATCAGCAAAAAACTACCAACTGTGAGAGCTGCCCCAAAGAAGACGGGGCTCCCCCTCCGAGAGGTCCTAATGCGCCGTCCTAATGCGCCGTACAAATCATTAGAGAGGACAAATCCTCTGGGAGTGGGCCGGACCAGCAGGCCCCAAGCTCCCTGCCAGCTCTGAAATTCCCTGATTCTGCACTCTGGGAGGGAGGGATTTCCAGTGTCGTCTCCCCTTTGGACAAGCAGAGTTTTGAGGCCAGAGACAATTGCCACATGCACGACTTAAGGTCAGATCCCTTGACTTGGTCACACTACTCTCCACTGCCTCTTCTGACTCATTTAGACGAGAAAATAATGTTTTGGAAAATAATAAATAACTAAAGAGCGTTTTAAAGTGCTTCACACATATTAACTCATTTCATTCTCATGATTCTGTGAGTAGCCACTAAAGGTATTATTACTCCCATTTTACAGATGAACAAACTTGGTCACATGTGAAGTGAGGGCGAGACGGTGTTTTTGTGCAGGTCCTCCCAACTCCAAGGCCTCTCTGCTTTCCCAGCTCTGCCTCTCAGTCAGTCATCTTAAGCTGCCCATGGGCTCAAGGTGTGACCAGAAAGAAATGAGCTTGAGGAGGAACACAGCAAGTTTGTTTCATCTCCCAATGTCACCCAAGGGCTCGAGGAAGGAGCCCTAACCAGCCCCCCAGGGGCAGGATTCAGAACCCCAGGAAGAAGGCGCAGGCACTTACTGCGAGGATAGCGATGACAATGCCCACGGCGCACAGGACGGCGTCATTGATCGTCTCCCCCGTCTTCAGCGGGTACTTAATGCTCTCATCATTGCAGTAGAAGCCTCGTCGGTAGGGCTTGATGGTGCTGGTCTCGATGATGAGGAAGGGCAGGCCCGCTGCAGGAGAAGAGGCAAGCGCCAACATGGGGGAAGGGAAGGAAAGAGGAAGGACAAGGTCAGTGCCATGGTACCAATCAGGAACAGCCCACAGTAAGACGGGAGCCAATCAAATGATCACCATCATTTTGTCCTTCTGTGCCCAGCACAAAGGATGGGGACCTGAACCTGTCATTTCACTGGTAGAGAAAGAGAATTAGGGTTAGAGGTCCTGAAATCAAACCCCCTCATCTGTACGAATGAGGAGCTGAGGTGAGGTTGCCTCACCTCAAGAGAAATGAACTGGCTTGCTTAGGATCACATAGTTATTAGGACTTGAACCCAGATCTTCCAGCAAGATATCTCCCCCACCATGCTACCTCTCAGGAATGCCCAACGTGAGCAAAGTTCCTTCCTCCAGTGAGGGTGAGCAGCTCACAAGTCCCCCGGAGTACTCAGAGCGGGCGACTCGTCCAATGTCCCAAAGTCTGCATAAGTCAGAAGTGGGACTGGAACCCAGGTGTTCTTGGCTTTGAGGCCAGCTCTCTCTCTATCCTCTGCACCTCACTGCCTGGCACAGAGTAGATGCTTAACTAATGCTTACTTTATTACTACCAGAAGCTCACTTCTCATGCCATGCAGTCTAGAAATCAATAAGCATTCCTAAACCGGCGCTCACATAAATGTCTGTTAAGGAGCAGTTCTCGCTGGTTGCTAGTTAGCCCAGCCTCTCTAGGCCTCAGTTTCCTCATTTGTAAAATCAAGCAGTCAGACTCAAATGACCACTAAGGTCCCGCCTACCTCTAAATCTATGATCTTGTATAATCTTCTATCTACCTTCTACGAAAAGCTCACTCCTCCTCCCCTGATGCCTGTGACCTCTCTCCCTAAGTACCTTGTATTCAACCTCTATGTGCTTTTCCCCTGATAGAATGTAAGCTCCCTGAGGCCAGGGATTGCTTCTCCCCTTCTCCCCTCTGTATCCCAGGTGCCTAGCCCAGTGTTGGGTACACAGCAGGGACTTAATAAATGTTTGTGCACTGAAAGTACCATGGATTAGCACGGGCCTCGAGACTACAGGCTCACCTCCCCAGATGATGAAACACCCAAGGACAGAAAATAGGGAACTAGATTACCATCATTTATTAAGTGCTTACTGTATACTAGACAGTGGACTCAGACATCACCTAGGCCAACGTCCTCATTGTACAGATAAGGAAAGTGAGATCTGGAGAGAAATAAATTGTCCAAGGCCACACAAGTAGGTTAAAGTAAGGAAGCAACCCCAGGCTTGTTCACAGGCCATGGGCTCTCTCCCGTTGGCACAATCTAATTTTTATGACACTTACTAATACAGGCCTTCTCTACTCTAGTAGGTGCTAAATTCCTCTAGGATGGAGATTGTATTTTATTCATCTGTTGCCCATATTGTGGAAGCTCAGTCCAGCCCTGGAATCTACATGCTGGAAGTACCCAACGCCCCCGGCCCCTGCCTCTGATTGGATGGCTCCTCCAGTGGCCAGCCCAGCCAGGTCTCATTCCTCTACAGCTGGCCTCTGCTCCAGGTGAAACCCTCCAAAACAGCCCTGACACGTGATGGGGAGCTCACTACTATGCAACTTTTCAATGACTTTGATTATTTCAGAAGGCTTTCCTGCTGTTAAGCCTACATTTGTCTCTGTAGCTTCCTGGCTTATGGGGCAAAGCAGAAGGAGAATAATAGCAAGCCAATAGCTAACATTTATATAGTGCTTATCATATGCCGGGCACATGTCTAATCCTTTCTCATGAAGGCTCTTTAAATACTTGAAGATAGTTCTCATGTCCCCTCCTGAGCCTTCCCTTTTCCTCCAAAGTCTCCCCTGATTGGGTGTTTTGGGCACTGCCTTTGGGAACCCTGCCATGCCAAAAGCCAACTCAGCCAAAGGTCACCCAGGGAGTCCAGCCATGCTCGGAACGCAGCTTAGTGTCTCCACCTTCAAAGGTCAGGGCCCAAGTATGTCACCCTCAGCCAAGAGCAGCCTACTCAGCCCCACCCCCAAATGATAAGAAAGAACACTGCGAAGGATCCCTTGCTCTCATGGAGACATGGGGGCACTGCCAACATTCTGAGCTCTTCGAAGACACTCGGCAAGGCTGGGGTGGGGGGGCTGGAAGGAAGCTGGGGTGTTTTTTCTCTGGGTCACAATCTCACTATTGTTGAAATGGGCTTTATGCAACAGGCCACGAAGCAGGAGGCCGGTTGGATAGCCAGGCCAAGAGAAAGAGTAAATGGCATTCCTTGAGGGGAGGGCTGTGGGTGGGGCTCAATGCCCTGTGGAGGGCCCTCTACCCCAACAGGTGCAAGTCTATAATAGGGGATGATCACCTAACCATTACATTTCTCCCCCCCCCCATTAAACAGTCTCCAAATATATCCTCAACTTGGAAAAAAGTTAACTTAAAAAACTCACTAGGAAAAAATGTTTTTAATTAGAAGTTGGAAGACTAGAGTTCTAGTCAAGGCTCTGACACCAAGCTTCTCCTCTCTGGGTCCCAGCTTCTTCCTCCCGAAAATGAATGGGTAGAGAATGATGACACCTCACATCCCATCCAATATAAAAAGGCTGGTGGCCACCAACTAGGATTCCATAACTCGTAGCTATAGCCCTGACAAACAGAAGAAGAATTATTATTATGGGAGCGGGAGGATCCTGGCCTCTGAGTTCATCAGCTTTGGGGGCCTCCCTGTATGGAATCTCCCTCCACAGATATAGAGCAGCAAGTCCTCTGACACTCTCTTAAAGGGGCACCTCAGTGCACAATCCTTTTTAAGTGACTTGCCCCCGGGCATCAATCAATTGACATTTATTAAACATCTACTATGTTCCAGGCACTGTGCTATGTGCTAGGGATACAAAAAGAAACAAAAGATAGTCCCTGCCCTCAAGAAACTTACAATCTAATGGCCACCATGTGGCAGATGCCAAGTCCAGCCCACCATCTACTGTGTCAAAATACCTTTCATTTATTAAACCCCTGCTGCACACTGGGCAACTGTGCTCTAGGTACCAGAGAACCAGCTACATCGTACTGAATCCGTCCCATGAATCCAATTCCTCCCATCCTTCAAGGCCCAGCTCAGGTGGCCTGTCCTCTCTGACGTCTACCCTCATTCTGGGAGCAGTAGAAATGACTGTTCCCTCTTAAGGAACTTGTCTTTCACTACAATTCCACCATCTACCTCATCTCTCAACCAGTCTTGGCATAAAAGTCTAAAAACAAAATAACAACAATAATGAATAATAGTAAAATTAAGAAAGCCGAGACTGGGTCTTATTCACCGTACCACTAGAGCTGAAAAGGACCCTGGATGTCAGCTGATATATTCAGCTAGGAAACTGAGACCTAGAAAGCCATTTAACAGTGTCGTCTCAAAGTCACTGCCATAAGGAGCTAAGGCAGAACTGGAACTCGGGACCTGTGCCCAAACTGTAACTTCTTTCAATGATGTTATGCTGCCTCCCAAAGTAAATTGTACACAGTAGGATCTACATAAGTATATGCTGAATAAAGGAATCCAAATGTGAATTTAGTTGGCCAAGAATGCTCAGATAACCCATCTTAGTGTTAGAGCACTCATGGCTAATTAAAATTCACATTCACATCTGGAATGGTATCCTGAACAGAACCGGGTCCAAAACCTGGCTACCAGTCACATCGTCTCTGTACTCTTTGGCCTTTGGTTCTCTGTCTCTCAAATGAAGCTGATGGTGTCCCCACCATTAGAATGTAAGCCCATCGAGGGCAGGGACGATTTCTTTGTATCCCCAGTGCCTTGCACAGGGCTTGGCACGTAATCAGTGCTTAAAGGAGATTTGTGGACTGATCTTTGTGCCAGTACAAATGCTACAAAACAGAACTAAGCCTTCAAGAGCTAGAGAAATGAGTAGTTAATAATGATTTTAATTTAAGATACTTTAAGCTATTCCAGTCTCTTTGCTCTTTGCCCAAGACCCCATCTGAAAAATATCAGAGACGGTGTAACTGTGGTCAATTCCATTTGTTCCACAGCCCTTTCTGAAAAAAAAAAAAAAGGGGGGGGGAGGGTAGTGGTGGTATTTATGTATTGTCACAGATAAACATAAGGATTTATTTGGCTCTATTCTTTGGATTTATTTAAATTCCATTGTTATTTACGTTTGTGACCCCTAACTGCTTCCTGTTAGAACAACAATTTACTTTATCAAATTTATATTGGCTCAGGAAAGAAATAAAAGCACCGGGTCCCATTACTGTGCCTGACATTTCAAAAGTAAACAGAGTGTGGTTATAAAATGCTGTTACCTTCCGGCCACCCTATCACCCCAGAGAAGAATGAAAAATGAAAACCAAAGAAAGGAGGAAGGGAGGAAGGAAGGAAGGAAAGAAGGGAGGAAGGAAGGAAGAGAGGAAGGAATGGAAGGAGAAAGAAAAGCAACAAGCATTTATTAAGCACCTACTACCAGCCAGTCACTGTGCTAAATGCTTTACAAATATCTCATTTATAGGCTGAATGATTGACAGCTGATATTGACACACTGCTTTAAGGTCTGCAAAATTCTTTATATATATATTATCTTCATTGGCCCTCCCCAAACCCTATGAGGTGCTGCTCTTATTACACCCATTTTATAGATGCAGGGACTGAAGCTCACAAGGGTGTAAAGGGAGTGGCTCAGAGTCACAGAGCATCTCTAGTGGGACTTCAGCCCACGTCTTCCCAGGTCCACTACTCTAACTAATGAAGGTCACAGTAACCTTCTAAGGCTATCAGGGTGGAAAACATTCTTTATTTTACAGATGAAGTAAGGCTCAGAAATTCACACAGCTCATTAAAATAACAACAATAATACAATAAAACAAAACCCTCATGTTTAACCCTGCACACATACACATAAGGTTTGCAAACAAGCTTTCTATACAGCAACCCTGTGGGGTAGGTGGGCGGGAGGTTTCCTTTGAGCACAGGGCCTCGAGATGGAAAGATGGCCTTAGAGATC